GGCAGCACAGGGAGAGCATAACTTTGGCAAATCACAATTCACACACACGGGATTTTCACACAAAACATCACAGCAGCTAATTCAAGCTCAATTCTACTTAATCAAACTTAAAACACATTTAAAATGCTACTAAATGCTACCGGAATTCCTCCCCATTTCTGGCACAATTCGGACACACACAAGGCAGTAATTAAATGGCTAATTTAGGGCTTAAAGAAGTGGCCATCATACCAGAATTTTCTAGCAAGAACCGGACGGCGGCAAGCTGCAGGGAACTCACGGACTACCCAAAAATTTAGGGAAATAAACAGAAATTAGCATAACCCAGCCTAAATCAAGGTTAAAGAGATGATTTCTTGGCTGTGGCTTACCCGAAAATGCCCAGAAAATTGCACCCCCAACCAGCAGAAACTCACAGACCAAAGGGAAGAGGAAAGGAGAGCAGATCTGGAAATTTCTACTTCAAAGGGAGGGTTCTAGGTCCCAAAATCAGTTCTTTGACAAGAAAAGAAGAGAAAAATAGCAAGCTTTTGCTGATTCCTCAAGAGAGGACTGTCGGCAGCTTGGGGGCTTGTCGGAAGGAAGAATTGGGAAGAAGGAGAAGATAAGGAAGAGCAAAACACATGGCTGAGGAGAGAAATATCATCCTTGATCCTTATCCTAATTTCCTTTCTTTTTAGCCTTTGAACTTTGAAAACTTTTGCTATTACATTCATTAATGATATTTCTTCACAATTAGGTCGCCAATTTACTTTAATGCTCTAAAAATTTTGGGGTATTACACTTTATAAAAACAATCCATTACCTTCTAATTTTATCATTTAGTCCCAATTAAAATTGGGTTATGACAACTCTAACTATTGTTTGTTATACGCTAGAAAGTATAACAAGAGATATTGAATTTGCTTGTGTGGAGCAATTAATTAATTTATAGGGAATTTCACTAAAGTTAGTTAATGATTCATTAATATTTCAATTGTAATGTTCCAATTTTCATAATATACTTACCCTAATTTGACCACCTCTTAATGTGATATCGTACCTTTACCTCAAAGATATAATATGAATGACTTTAAACAAGCAGATGTATACAATATCACATGTCATTCTCCAAATAAAAAAAGTTAAGCATATAATGTCAAGTCATATTATACAATTTATCTAATAATAATAACTACAAAAGTAGGGATCCACTTACATACCAAATCTTATACACCACACTTATACAAAATTTCAAACCATTAATCTTTTTACTTTCAATAGTTGAAATTTATTCACATTTATTAAAAATAATTATCTTTCTTAATCTAAAATATCATAATAAATTTCAACAATTGAGAAGGAAGAGATGAATGGTTAAAATTTTGTATGAGTTTGTGTATAAATGAATTCCTCCTTTAACTATAATAATTATATATATAACTATTGTAACAACGAAAGTTCATCCTAAAATTCTTAAATAAATACTCATTAGATTTTAAAAAAAAAAATCCTCAATAAATACCCAATGAATTTTTAAAAATTTTCAATAAATAGCTAATAGACTTTTTAAAAAAATTTGTATTAAAGAGTAATTCATATTTAACATATATATTATTGCAATTCAATTTTAATAAGATTTGATTTCTTGTTAATTTTATTAATGCTTTCTTATTATAGGATTTGACTTGACTTCTAATATCTTTCCAATTCAACATTAAGACTACAATTTATTTCATATTTATATAAATGGACAAAAAAATGAATTATATAGTGTTGGTCCTCAAATTTCTAAATTTTTTTCACTTTAGTCCTGAGATTTCATAATTCTATAATTTGCTTCTCAACTCATCATTTTATTAGTAGAGGTTTTTTGGAATTTTCTTTATTAGAGAAAAATTTAACATTGTAAGTAACAATTTGGTTAATAAATGTGCTTAATTGCTTCTCACATTGTTAACTAAGATTTGATTCTTTATTAATGAAAAATATTCACACCTTTTTTTTAAAAAAAAAAAAAACAAAATATGCACACTTGTTTACTAAGTGCATAAGTATATGATTTTTTTTTAAAAGAACCAAAAATGCACAAATTTAATCCAACATATATACAAGCTATGGAAAATTGCCTTTGATTTTCTACTTGATTTAGTACTAAGCTTGTTAGATGGTTCTTATTTTGGTCCTTAAGTACTTTTCAATCCTTGAACTTATTTTTTCAACACCGAATTATCCTTCCATTTAACATTTTTCCATCCAGAAACAAGTCATTTTTATGTTGAAAAATTACACATGAAAAAAATAAAAGAGCGGACAATTAAACTTGGTGGAAAATTTTTGTGTCCACATTCATTTGGATCTTCTTTTTTTTTTTTTTTTTATTGATGTTGAGTTGCATAATGAGAAGCCCTCTCTCATCCATTAACCAACCCCACCCACATATTATGTAACTCGAATTCAAAATCTCTTACTTCCATTAAAAGATCGAGTTATTTAGGTCATTGGTGCATTTGAATCTTTTAATTATCCAAATAGTTTTTTTTTTTTTTTTAATTTGGAGTGCAAGTAGTACTCCAACCCTTACCTTTAGTTTTCACATGCATTTGATAATTTTTTTTAACTAAGATAATTATTAGTAAATATAAGGCATCTAGCATCTACAAAATTTATTAGTGTCAATTTAGAAAAATCTTATATCATAAACTAATTGTTTATGTCCAAATAAAGCATATCATTGAGCACAAACAAAGGTTTTTAGAAGAAAGTGTAGACAACAATACCAATACACTATTAGAATACATAGCAAAAACTAACAGTCCTATAACCCACAATGTACATTTTTGTTAGTTATAGGGATATAACGAAGACAATTTCTTTTGGTTATAGGAATTAGTTGATTATAATGAGGGTTTAACCTCAAATCCTAAAAATTGTATAACAAAAACCTTAGTTGTCAATTGTACGAATTATAACTACCAATCAAAACAGTTGTTGGTTATGTTTATTCAATATAATCGACAACTTGTTAATTTGTCACTAATATTGATGAACTTTTAAAATAAAAAAAAATAGTTATAAACCAACACACATAAGTTGTTAGTTACATAATTAATATTTTAATAATAAACAATTAAAAAAATTATAGTTATATATAAAATGAACAACTATTTTGTTTATTTTGTATATCTAATGGAGAGTTTGTTGATTATATAAGTTTAATTGACAACTAAAATCATATATTACACTAGGGCTTAGGGTTTTATAAGAATTTTAATTAGTTGTAGATTTAAGATTTTTTCTTTAAAATTAAAAAATTTAGGTTTACAGTTTGTTAGGTAATGAGTTTGAATTTTATAGAAATTAATGTAGAATTTTTTTCCTTGATATTATTGATAATTGGCTGAGTTTTATATGATTTCACTTGATTTCATATAATTTCCATTCTTTGTCTAGGAAGGACTTAATTGGAAGAGATCATAATTATTAGAACCAAATCAAAGAAATCAAAACTATTAGGATAAAAGTATCAATTGATGAAAGATGAGGAACAATAATAGTTTTACCAATGAAGAACAAAAATTCCATTTTGGTCCAACGTCTACTCTAATTAGGCTTTCTTAGGGTTAAATTTTAATTTTGGTCTCTCAACTTTAGAGTTTTACATAATTTTTATCCCTCCACTTTTTTACCTTTTTTTAGTCATTTAACTATGGAAAATATATTATTTTAGTCATTTCATCAGTTAACTCATTAAGTTTGTCCACATATACACATTTTTAGTTCCTGAACTTTTAAGTTGAAAGATAAAAAAATGTGTATATATGGGCAAACTTAACAAACTAACTAATAGAATGAATAAAAAAAGCATATTTTCCATAATTAAGGAACAAAAAAGTACATTGAAAATTGAAGGTTGAAGGGTGAAAACTATACAAAGTCCTAAAGTTAAGAAACCAAAATTGGCATTTAACATTATTTTAAACTCCTATAAAGACTCATTCATTATTAGACATAAGGCCTACTTGTATAGTGGTTAAATTCAACAAATAGTGGGTAATGGATAGCAGGTAGTGAGTAATGAGTAGCGAATAACGAATAGCGAATGGTGAATAACGAATACTTATAGCAAGTTGTGAGTGGCGATTAGTGAGCAGCAAATAGCGAGTAATAGATAATGGAAAGCAAGTAGCAAATAGTAAATAGTGAATTCAATTAATATAACTATTTAGTTATACAATAGTTAATGGTTGTTGTTTAAAATTAAATGACTAAAAAAGACATGTTTAAAAACAATTAAGTATATTTCTTTCTTTTTATATTTTTTATAATTAAAATTATTAATTTTATAAAAATAAAAAAATAAATTATAATAGTGTAATCATACACTAATTTTTATTTTTAATAAAAAATTTATATTAATTTAAAATAAAGTATAAAAAAAATTTGAATGTTTTCCTCTAATTAGTAAATTTTATTTATTGAGCTAATATATTTTTTTATGACAAATTAATGTAAAAATAAAAATATAATAATTATTTAATATTATTAAAGATAAAAAGTAAAATTAAAACTAATTAGATAAGTACTAATTAAAAACTGTAACAAAAAATTTAAAAATTTAAAGAATCAATTTGTTAACAAAATTAAAAAATTTTAATTTGCTAGCAATTTGGTATACCTAGTTTATAACGGTTTCAAAATAAATAAATTTATCGAACACCTTTTTATGTAGTTTGAGTAAAATTGTTAACCACTACCTTCAAACCACTATACCAAATGAGCTCTTAAAAGGCTTTTGTTAGCTCTCTTTTTTAGCACTCTTGGAAACTAACTTAGAGGTGATCACAAGAATTCATCAACAATAGAAAATTGAGGACATTGACATCCTTAAATTAGGTTTTGTTATTTTTGAGTTTTCTTCTTTGTTTTGATATGATTTCAAATTTTTTTTGTTTTTTGTTATAAGCTGATTTAGCTAACTAAGGATATGATGCAGTCTAATTAAAAGAAATTATTTTTTTTTCAAAAAACACTTGTGTTGGATAGTTTATCATGCCAACGTGTAAAACATCTGTGTATATAATTAAGAAGAAAAAAATTAAATATATTTCCACTAATCACTCACATGATATACGTTGAAATGTATATTTATAGTGAAATTAAACTGAAATTGAGTTTAATGAAACATCAACGATGTTATTAGCAACTTTACATTCAATTTCAAGTAAAGTTTATCACAATATAACAACTCAACATATATCATCAACAAATTCAAAGCTTCATTCATAAAATAAATACAATAATTTGAATAAATAATTTAAAAACTCACACTAAAATTTGAAATTGAATGCAAAATTCGCAGGACACTACCTTAAAATTATAATTTGTTTGAAGTTTTTGTATGTACAAAAATCTAGTCAAATTGTTAGTAAATGTTTAGGACCAAAAACAGCATAAGTAATAATTATTAAAAAAAAAAGTGAGAATGAGATTGAAAACTTTCACGCCTCATGAAGTTTGAAAGGTTATTTCTTCACCTAAATGAGTTAGTAAATCAGTATGTAATACCCTAAATTTCACATTGAAATGAAAGTGTAAGTGTGATTAATATATAATTGTTATGATCAACTATTATTAACAACTTGGCTTAGAGTTTTTAAAGAAACTTGGACCATGATCTAAAGAATTGTTAGATTGGTGATAGATTTTAGCTTGAGTTGTTTTAATTGATATCAAATCTATCACTTCTCGCAATATTAGCCAATGATATTATGGAACTCATATCACTTAATGTGGATTTCTTGCTTGTGAGCTAGTGAATCTTATTCTTATTGTAATTGTGTTTAATGAGGATATCAAGTATTTAAATGAGTAAGATTATAACATCTTGAATTTCACGTTAAAATGGAAAAGTGTAATTATGATTGATATATAATATTTATAACCAATTATTATTAATAATTTAAGTTTGAATTTTTAAAAACTCCTAAATCTTAATTTAAAAAGTTATTAAGATAGTAATAAGTTTGAACTAATTCATTCTTCAAAACATATAAAAAAGAATTATATTTTCCACCAAATTGATTCAAAAACACATATGTTTATTTCTTGAAAAACCATATAAAGATAAATACTAACCTAAAATCCAGCAAAAATCCTGCAAAACAAAAAGAAAACAAAAGAATACAAGCACTAGTGGTAAAATTTTGAAAAAAAAAAAAATAAACAGTGAAATCAGAATGCAAAATTGTAAAAAAGAAATAATTACTAAGTCTTCGCACCTAAAAGAACTGCCATTCATACAAACTAATGAAAATTGTGAAGGTAATGTTACGAAAACAAATGAGCGAATCAGACTAGGGGGAAAGAAAGAAGAAAAGAGAAGAAGAGAGAAAGAAATGAGGTGGCTGCTAGCTGCTCCAGAAAATATATACGGTCATTCACCGATGTGATGTATGTCAGTGAATGATTGCTACGAAAATGAAACAAAAAAATTCAAATTTTTCTTGGCAGCATGACTCTCATCTTGCTAAATTACGTTGATTAAAATATTTTTCCAATATTCACCTAGCATGACTCTCACCATTAGTGATGGCAATTTCCCTTGATCCCCGTGGGGATCCTGTCACGGGGATGAGGTGGGGAAAAATATTTTTTTCCGTGGGGCGGGGATGGGGAGCATTTTCTCCCTGTAAAATTTCGCGGGGAATTTTCCCTGTCCCGTGGGGCTCGTGGGGATCTCCATCTCCGCAAAAATTAAAATAAATATAAATTAATTTTATTTTAAATTTAATTCATCTTTCAAACTCTAATCCAAATCCAAAACCAAACACAAACCCAAACTC